CCCCAAAACCCCAAAACCCCGTAAGGCGAAATTTGAATTTAAAAGAAGATTTGTATTTTTAATGATTTAAATAATTTTTGATTTGTGCATAATTTAACATACTTGTATTTTGGTAATCTACCAAAATAAGTAATTGCATTATGCACTATCAAATGACTATTTACTCCATATATTCAATTTACTGTCTTTAATTTTAATACGATTTCAATCTTAGTGCACGATCTCATTTTTTCTGTGCTGCTTTCTTGCCCTTTGCTGCTGCCGTACTTTTATTTGGTTTCTTTTCATTTTGTACTTTCGTAGTTTAGTTATTCTTATTCTTCTAACTCCCTTGCTGAGATTAATCCTTTTAAGGTGGCTTATTACTTGATTGAATATTTTAAATCTCTTCCTTCTTCTCAACTTTAGTTTCATGCTTTATATCTCTCTTTGGAATCATAAAGTCAAAAAGTTTCATCTATCCAGGCGGCGAAATTTACTTTGCTTATTTCGCTGATGAACTTGTTTAAGCCTTGCCTTTTGGCGTTTTTTAATTTTTCTGCGATGTATTTTAAGTCTTTTTTTGTTATTTATCCGAGAGTTATGAAGTCTAAGCTGGCATGGTTTTCTTATATTCCTAGAAATTTATCTCATCTTTGTGTACCTTGTTTTATCCATCATCTAAAATATCAAGCAGATCGTCATCACTCTCAGGAGCCCGGACAGTTCTCTTTCGACCAGATAATTGGCCACCTTATCCTTATTTTTTGAATTCTCTTAGTTCCTTCTAAAATTATGAATTGTGGAGACCAACTCCTAAGATATCTTCAGGTGGTAAACTGGCAAATATTAGCTATTAGTCTTATTACTTTTAAGAATCTGTAAGTTCAAATTCTAATTGTATCTTATCTTTATTTTCCTAATCTTCGATTTCTTTCTATAAAATTTCATTTTGAATCACTGAATCAGAATTAGAAATAACATCCTCATCCTATGCAATTTTAATCAACTCTTGTTATGACTGAACTCTGATATCCTATTTTACATTTTGAATCTCCTCCCTTATAATATCCTCTATTTTGTCATTGTTTTTTTCCTACTCAATATCCTTCTATCTTGAGTTTTACTTTGACCATACTTACATTGAATTCTACTATGACAATAGTATTTCTTTGTGTAGTTTAGAGTTATATACATCATCTTCATCATTATCTTTACCTTGCTGATCCCCACTATTATTAGCATCGTGAGAACTACTATTTTCTAATTCATCAATAACATCTTTGCTGTCCAACTCACCAATTTTTACATCCTCCATAATTTATTTATCATCTGCCTCTTTATCTTTAAGTTCTTCTTGCAATTCTTATAAATCCTCTTCCTCAAATTCAAAATCGTCAATCATATCGTCAATCAATTTTAGTTCTTCCTGTCTTTATGTATGACCGACTGAGTGAGGAATGAGTTAAGATTAAAGCATAACTACTTTTTACTGAGCATGCTATTATAGTATTTAAGAATGACTTGATTCATTGTCTTAGATCTCATCCATCATATTATAATCCTCTGTACAATCACAACTCAAAAATCCCTCTTAGTTCTTTTCATTCAGGAGCTTCCCTAATTTCTTTTTAAGTTACTTTGGTGGTTTGCTGTTAGGCTTCTGTTTTTTACTCTGGTTACTTTTAAATTCCACAAATGGCTTGTAATGATCCTTTTCCAAGATTTTTTGCTTAATTTCTTAATTTTCATAATAATCAGAAGAATCAAACCTTTTGTCTCTCCTTTACTAGTTAAAACTGTTATTATTATTACGATTGTAGCTTGAATTCGCTCTTTATTCGGATGTTTCATTTATTTATCTACTTTGGTGATTTGCATTTTAGCTTATTATCGAAACTTTATTTGGTCTAAATATGTTCTCGTTGGTGAGGAGATTTCTATTAATGGGAAACATCTAAAAAGTATCTTTACTTTCCTCGAGAAGACTCTTCTTACTTAAAAAATGCATCACAAAGTTAATGTGAATCCTGATTGATTCATCGTAGTCTATTGACTGGCATTATCTCAGCGTAAACCTATCAAAAGATATCACTTGCAAGTCATCAATTTCCATAACGACTTCTAGTTTATTGCCAAGTCTCAGTTTTGTGTTCATAAATGAACCTCCATCATTTTGATTGATTACTTTTTTCAAACCACTCTCTAAATCTTATTGCTACAATTAGAGCTAATATTCTTGCACGCACACAAGCATATTCACTATGTTATATATCTTCACACTAGAGGGGTACCTCTGCTCGAATTTTTCTTTGCATATATTACTGAAAACACACTTAATTTAGTGCTGATCGTCGCAAATGAAAAAATCGCCTTCGTACTCTTAAACATGAGCTCTGAAAGACCTCTTATGCTTTTGATGAAGTTATTCAAAGTCGCCCTTTGCCTTAAGAAAATCAAGCACTTTCTGCTTAATAATTGGGATGGCAAAATATTCTTTAATACTCATCCTTTTTACGCGGTAAATTCCTATTAATTTTAATATTTTATTCTTTCTTTCAATATTTACATTTGTTTAGTGGGGTTTTGGGGTTTTGGGGTTTTGGGG